TTTTATTAGGGCCATTTATTTAACTTAAATTTTAAAATGTATACTCTTTTCATTCTAATGGACAATCACAAAAAATAAAAATTTGAAAACACAACCTAGAAAGTGTTTTTTAGCCCAATTAACATAGACCATCTATTTTGGTGAGATGCTTAGATCTAGGCCTTAAAATGATATTTTTTAATTTCAAATTTTTTAGATAACTTTATTATCATTAGATTAACAATGCTAAAAAATAATAAATTGATTTTGAACTCATAAAGGCTTAGATATTAAAATTCACCAATTGGACAGTCTACATTGTTGGAGAGGGCTCATTTTGACCATATATAGGTTATAAATTAATTATTATTTTTAGATTGATTATTGAGATGAAGTGTGTGGGTGCAAGATTTTGAGTCATATAAATACCATAAATATGATTTTTTAGAAGTGTAGTTTCATTGTATTATAATGGCATGATGGCATAATACATCTAAGTTCCTCTCTCTCGTTCGAGAAAGGGATTGGGATAGAGGTAATAGCATCCCCGCACTTATTCACCATGTTGTGGTCTTCATTCTCACTAATATCTTCAAAGAACTAATTCCTAAACTATTTAAAAAAGAAAAGGGCTGGAGCTTATCTTCTCCACTGAATTACCAAAAAAAAAAAAAAATCTCTCTCTCTCCACCATGTCAGTTTATCTCTCTCCACCACCATGTTAGTTTATCTAAAGAAACAAATGACAGCCGAGTTCCTCTCGAAACAAATGACAAAAAGTAAGGTCCTCTCTCTTTCTCTCTCATAGTGCACTGGGTGCTAATATAGTCAAGTTGTGGACGTCAAGCATGAAAGGAGTATGTCATAACATATAAGAAAGTCTGAATACCACGTCTTTTAAAAATGGGTTTAAACTCACTTATATGGTTGCCCATAAAATGACAATACAGAAAAAGCAATTGAAAATAGAGCCCCCACTCCATGATTTATCAGTTAGCAAGAGACAAATTTCCTGAGGTTTTGCTTGGAAAACTGGAAACCATAGAAAAAATAAAGATGTGGCCATATCGATAGGAACGGTTTAGATGAGATAAATGGTTTTTTATCACATGAATTTGTGACATACATATGAGAGAGAGAGGGGAAAAACCATTTATAGATATTCAGAGATAACTATTACCCAAAAAGTGTGTGTGTGTGAGAGAGAGAGTGTGATTTTGCAGTTTCTCAAAGAGGAGAGAGAGAGTGTGTGATTTTGCAGTTTCTCAAAGAGGAGAGAGAGAGTGCGTGATTTTGCAGTTTCTCAAAGAGGAGAGAGAGAGTGCGTGATTTTTGCAGTTTCTCAAAGAGGAGAGAGAGAGAGGAAAAAGCATTTATAAATATTAAGACAATACTGATTCACCTAGAGAGAGAGAGGAGAAGAAAACTATTATAGATATTAATAGACAACTATCACTAACAAAACGAGAGAGAGAGAGAGAGAGAGATTTTGCAGATTTCTACAAGACAAAAAAAGAAGTTGAGAGAGAGAGAGAATCTGCATTTTCTTCAAAGAAAAAATGATTTTGAAAAGCACGTGAGCAAAACGATGTTTATTTCTCCCATTTAATACAGTGCTTAAAAGAAAAATGTTTCTCCCATTTAATATTTTAAATCTCTCTTGACAAACAAAAGGATATGCGGCCATTTGTAAAAAAGGAAAGGGCCTATTTCGAGAATCCACTAAACAAAATCTGTTCTTGTACCATTTCGTCATTCAGAAAAAAGACAGGGTCCAAACACTGCTTTCCTATGCACCTAACCCATCCAGCCTGGCTTCGTCCGTACAACCGAACCGCCTTCCACCGGTAACCATGACTTCACACGTGCGAACTTGACGACGTCACCGAACCACTCGCCTGTGGACGGAAATAAAAAGGCGAAAGCGACAAATTAAATACACAAAAAAAGAAAAAGAAAATAAGGCGGTTAAATAAATAAATAAAATTGAGAAAATTAAAGGGCACAATAAAATCGCAGAGCGTGTGTTTTGGGTTCTTTGCACCCACAATATCTCTCCTCAATCCTTTCTCTCTCTAAAACTTTCTAATTCTGAGTTTCCAACTATTTTGGGGTTTTTGCACCCTCCTCTCCTATATCTTTCCTCTCGCTTAACATGTTTTTCTCTCTGGCTTTCTTTCTCTCTCATCCCTAAATCATTTCTCTGTGCACAGTGCATCTCCTTCTCTGTAGCGGCGGTCCAACCCATGATGAACAGAAACGGATCGGCTTCCCTTCTCTCTCCTTTCTTCTTCCCCTTTCTCTCTCTAAAACCAGAAGAAATGCATGGACAAGGGGGTGGTTTTTCAGAGGAGTTGAAAGAACCCCATCAGCCCATTGCTCAACCAAATAGCGGCGAGTTCCCGCTTCAAGGCAAAGGAAAGTGGAGTTCGTTTATTTTTACCGGCGAACTGGTATGCCCATCTCTTCCTTTCATTCTCTCACTGTGACCATCATTTTTCACCGGAGAATCTCCTGTTTTCCCAAAAAATGGCCGGTCTTTGGCTGAGAAGAGAACCCACTTTCCCCTTTGTTTTTCCGCCTCTTATTAAACGATATTGAAAGGTTTTTTAGCTTTCTGTTATTTGATTTATGCTTTGAGGCAAGCTTGGGTTAGAGAGCAAAACCCAAACTTAACCATGGTGCAATGGGATTAGAGACTCGAACTCGTGAGCTGAGCCCATCGAGTCAATGGACTAGTGGTTCTTTGTAGATCTGACCTCCAGACTCGATCTTGATGAAAACCCCCCTTTCTTTCTTTTTTCCGGCGATTATTCCGACTTATTATTTCATTATCCTAGCCTGAAATTTTTTTGCGATGAGGGATTTGCCGCTTGCCCCATTTTTCTCGGGTCCAGGTGCAATGTCCCTTGGGTCACGGTTCATAGCCTTTGATGATAAACATTAGAAACGTGAAGGAATTAGTGCTTTATAAGGAAGAGAGAGAAAGAGATTATTGTGGTGTTAGAGAGAGAATAGTAATAAGATGTTAGAGAGATTGAGCAAGAATAGTAATAGGGTTTTAGAGAGAGAAAGAATACGAACGGGTGTTTCAGAGTGTGCAGTTGTTTTGTGCAGGAGGAGGAGGAGGAGGGTGTGAAAGCAAATGAGAATGAGGAACCAATGGTTGCACCGAATGGCAGGTAATGATAATATTATCGTAAATAGAAATAATTCAATAGTGATAATAATGGGTTTTTTTCAATCTCGCTCATCGTAGTTGCAGTGAGATCTCAGCTAGAGAGAGAGAGTTTTTACACTTTTACAGTGGGAGTAAGAAGGTCAGAGTAAAGAACGATTCTATTTATGGGGCCTTCATGCAAACCCCAGTTTTTGTTTCAGCCTCATTACATATACATCAGTTTAGAGAGAGAAATTATTTTCTTGTATGTCCCTAAGACTGAATTTTCGATAGAGAAAGTATTTTCTTTTGTATGGTTGATCCCTAAGACTAAATTAATTTTGCTTTCCCTGTATGTTTTTAAACTGTGAAAGCCCTGGTGCAAGGCCTCCTCTCCCACCATGGTTGCTTTCCATTCCAGGTACGCTCAAACCAAACCATTAAAAACCCACCAAATTCAACTTTGAACTGAAAACGATTTCTTTTTATTTCCTGGTTTTTGTAGAGAGAGAAACAAATGGGAGGTGGACTAAACAGTACTACTCATTTCCAGCGAGTAAGAGAAAGAGAAGCAGTGCAGAAACAAGCGAGGAAACGATAGAAATAATAGACTTAGATAATGAAGAAATAAGCAAAGAAGACAACATAGAGATAAATAATTTAGAAATAAGAGAGAAAACCGAAGATGGTCTTATAGACCTTAACAAGGAAATAAGTGCATATGTGATAGACATAGAAAGTGATAGCCATAGCTGTGATTTGAAGCTGGATGAGAGAGAAACTGAGATGAGAAAGAATGACAGCCATGGTAGTGATTTGAAGATGGAGGAGAGAGAGAATAAGGGGAAGAATGAATTCGAGTCCGGGGGTTTGAGGTGCAGCAGGATGAATGGTAAAACCTGGAGGTGCAAGCGAGAAGCGCTATTGGGCTACGCTCTCTGCGAATACCACCACGGTAAGGCGAGGATGCGAAGCATAAATCAGATAGTATCACAGAAGAGAGGGAAGCCAGAGAAGAGTGAGAGTAACCGTGAGAAGTCACTGAAGAGAGAGAAAATGGTAGGAAAACCAGAGAAGTCACTGAAGAGAGAGAAAATGGTAGGAAAACCAGAGAAGTCACTGAAGAGAGAGAAGAAGAAGAAGTTAGGAGAGTTAGTGAAGAAGAAAGGAAAATCGCAGGAGAGAGAGAAGTCTGAAGAAATAAAGAAGAGAGAGAAACTAGAGAGAGAAAAGAATCAGAGGAAGAAGAAGAAGGAGAAGTCAATCAAGAGTCTCTTTGATGAAACTTATGTCACAATAACCCAACTCAGGTTCTGATACATGAAATCACACTCGTTTTGGGCCTCAAAAATTCTCGGGTTGGTGGGGGCAAGTGATGTTCGTCGTGTGCTTTATTTATTTATTTCGTATTTTTGTTTTTTAGAGAGGGAAAATTGGGTGGTAGAAGTGGGATTTGGACTTCTAGGATCCGAACCGTCCAAATTTTGTTTCATTTTCCGTGCTTGGTTCATCAATAAGACTATAACTCAATTTGAATTCTATTTATCGATAGCTCTATGCACGTGATATGCTTGACCCCCCCCTCTCTCTCTCTCTCTCTCTTTGAGCTAGTAGACGATTATATATATATATATATATTTATTTGAGCATAAAAGATGATAAGTTTGATCTATCTCCTTCTCTCACTCACACACACTCTATCTTTGATTGAAGTTGTGTTCAACTACTCGGGCGAGTCGGCTTTGATTCAGTCGAGCAACTCTAGCGGGCCCGAGTATCTTCGAGTTAGACATCCAACTTTGGGATTTAAAAAATAAATAAAAAAAATTATGGAATTTATTTTATTATTTTTTAATGCGTTTTATCATTTTGATGAAGATTGGAAAGTATTTTGGCTATAAATATTCATTTTTATACTTTTCCATTTTTTTTTTGGATTATTTTGAAAATACTCACATGACATTGATTTTTCGAGATTTATTGTTTTACTATTTTTTAACTTCATTTAGATGTATTTTGTTTAATCTTTTCTTTTAAATATACATTTTATGTTTTTTTGGTTTTATTTTTTAACATATTTTTTGCCTACCTCAGGCTGGTTATCTAGACCTGTTCCAAGTTACCCCAACCAAGCCCATGGCCGGTTCGTGCGAACACCAGTTTGAAGCTTTGAGCCAATAGATGATACGTTTGATCTCTCACACACACACTCAAGGGTTGGGGTGGTAGATATCTCTCTCACACACACTCAAGGGTTGGGGTGGTAGATAAGGGAAATGTTTTTATGCTTCCCCTACAACATAGAAGTCCTATCCTCCCCCTATCATTCAGCTGTTTTATTTTGATCAAGAGAGCCACTCGTCGTTTGATCTTAGATCCGATGTCTCAAAGTATTTTATTATTGGTTTTTTTTTATACAAATTGTATGAATATAAATTTTGGTACATGCCATCTTCTCATTGGACCACACCTATATAAAATATTAATAATAATTTTTCAATAAAATATAATAATCAAAATACCCCTTAAATCTTTTATAAGCATTTTGGTTATTTTATTTTATTGAAAATATTTTTTTATATTTTTCGTTAGTATTAGTTTAACAAAAAAATGGACATCTAAAATTTGATATCAAAATAATTTATAAAAAAAATTAAAAAAAAAAAATATAAAGACATGACATTGTGATTGTGACAATATTAACCTTATTCTATGGTGCAGCGGAAAGATAGAAAAGCTGATCGGCAGGTAAAAAGTTCGATCTCTCTCTCTCTCTCTCACACACATTTTCATAGTACCCGAGTGGCGTCGAGTGCACTTCTCTGTTGCGTAATCTCTCAACTCTAACTCACTCTCTCTCTCTCTCTCTCTTGCTCCTCATATCATCATATATGGGGAACTCTCACTCTTCTTTCTCTCTCCTACCATGGCGGAGTAGGGAGTACGGAGAGTAATGGAGTTTGTTTGGGTCAAAAAATGTATCCAAATTGTCCATTATTGTCATAAAAAAGTCTATACTATGCAAACCTTTTATTCGACGGAACTAATATCTTCCTTGATTGGTTACAATTATGCTTTATTAAACGGTGGAAAAAGTTGTACTGCATCAAATCTCAAGTGGCTAAAATGGAAAGGCAATATGGAGAGCATATAGGTCGTGTATGATACACATCATCAATGGACGCTAGGGATTAAATGTTGTGTGGGCGTGATGGATACTCAGCCGTTCATCTTGGGAATGGGCTATTGCTCCGATTGTGAATATTCGAAGAAAAGTTAGGGCATCTCTTGATGGATGATTTCGATGAGTGGCCCCTTATGGAGGAGAGAGAGAGAGAGAGAGAGAATATTTGTAAAAGTTTAAGAATTAATTTTGGCGACACGTGGTCCTCGCCTCTCGTGTATTGTTCCTCTTTCCTTCTTTTGTCTACTTATTATCGGCCCTACCCATCCTCCTTCTCCCCTCTTTCCCCTTTCTCTCTCTCTACACTTCTCTCTTCTCTCTCTCTACATGTCTTTCCCATCTCTCTCTTTCTCGCTCTACCCTCTTTCCTCTCTACACTATTTTCTCTCTCTACCCTCTTTTTCTCTCTCTACACTTCTCTCTATCTTCCTCTCTCTACTCTCTCTCTCACTCCATTTTCTCCCTCTTCTCTCACTCCTCGGTCCACGCTCTTTTAGCTCTCTTTTTTGTACTTAATCTCTCTCTCTCTCTCTCTACCCTCCTTTAGCGTTTCTCTCCACCCTTTGTTGTACTTGGTCCCTCTCTCTCTCTCTCTCT